GTACGTACGTACGTACTACTCTAGTATATCTCTCTCTCTCTCTCTCTCTCTCTCTCTCTCTCTCTCTCTCTCTCTCTCTTTCCCCCTCTTCATTTCTTCTTCATTCTTTTTTCAACAGATTCCAAGGAAGATTCTTCTTATCAGATAGAAATAAAATTTTCACATTTGTCGTGGATCTTCTCGTTTGTCGCGAGAATACCTTATTTCGACTTGCGTAGAGGTTGCTTTCGCGTTATAGAGATTGGACCATAACTATTCCTTAGAATACGCACACACACGCATGCACGCACGCACACATACACAATCCGCTACATCTGTTTCGAACGATTCCAAGTTTTTACGAGCGAAATTCGAAGTCTCGAACGTACCCACGCGAAAAATAATGGTTAAAATGATTTCTGCTACATCCTGAGGAAATTTTTGTTTTACTCGATACCTTACCTCGTTTTTGAATTATTGTAGAACTCAAGGATCTGTCTGATCTCAATAATACATATTTCACGAGCAACGTTACGTCGTAAAACGTCTTGTTGTGAAGTTGTGTAACGCAGGGAACATTGCGTTTAAAGTTTGCCAGATATCTCATATCATGGATAGCAAAAGCTAGGTTAATAAAGCTCTTGACGCGGCTAGACAACGCCTAATCAGCCTCGATGCTTTGTTACAGGATGCGGTACGAGGCAGGATCCTCAACGCGTGTTCACAAACAACGTTGTAGTTCGTTTCCATCCTGGCCTCGAAATGGACGGGGATGAAGTTATTACGATAGTTTGCAGATATCCTCCGCCTATGGCGCCTGCACCACCGGCTCCTCCTGCCAGCATGTGAATCTTTTTTCTTACTTTATTTTCCATTTTATTTTTATTTTTATTTATAGAACTTCAATTATTCGATATATTCTGTTGAAATATACAACGAGATGAAAATAAATTGGTGATTTCTACTCTGAAATCTTTAAATTTTACTGTTTTCAATTGTTTCATAAGAATTTGTTTAATTTCGAACATTAGAAGTATAAAATTTTATTTGTATATATAAGTATAAAGTTTCGATTATTCTATTACCAAAAAAAGTATTTAATTATCGACGAAGTGTTATGCTTCATAAGCATAAGGTCATCATTCACTTGTTCTTTTTCCTCAATACTTTTTCTTTCTTGCATCTTGATAAATTATTGCCGTTACTTCCATGAAATTTCTTATCCAGTTTTATTAATAAATGGATCCTTTATGCTTCTTGAAAATTGGATCTCCTGTAAAAATCGTATTCTTATTCATTTTGACCTATTTTCACGTGAAATAAAAAGCCAATTTAATACAAATTTTTTGCCTTATTCTTAAGAAGTTACTTAAGACTGGATGTTTTTCTTCCCCAACAAGTTTGGCCACTCCAGCGCCAGCTCCGTTGCCCGAACCGCCATTGACAGGATTTCAAATTATGCTCATCATCTGCGCCATTCTCTTCCTCTCGTTGCTGTTGCTCGGCCTCGGTTGCTCATACATGTGTCTAAAACGTAGAAATGTTCGCGTGATTCACCGACATCCATTCGGAAGTGGCTCGGGCTCGGAGATAACGAAACTCTCCACATCCTCTTTGAGTAATATCACCATGTTCGAGGGTCTAAAGATACCCAGGGCTCATGCACTTTTGCACGCACCTCCATCCACTACCGGAAGCGATGCGAACTTGATGATCGACCACTCGTTGCCAAGCGATTATCCGAGCGAGAGCTCCGAGGTAAATTGTTCAATATATATCGATACAAAAAAATTATGATTTTGATTTTGAAATTTTTAATGTAACGTAACATTGAATTGAAATTTAAAAAATATTCATTTATTTTTCATTAGTATAGTTTGACTTGTGTAAATGATTTCTAATTGAGGTTAACTTATTATTAAATTATTTTTGATTATCTTTATTTCATTGCCAATTGTTCAATTTTCATTTCAGCAAATAATTATCATTAGAATTAACGAAAATCAAATCATTTTTTTGTTCACAGGTCGATGAGGAACCTTCGTTGCCAGTTTCATCGGCCGGTTCGTATGACAACAAAGCTTTCGTCCATCATGAAACGCACCAACGCGAAATGCGTACCACTAGCTCCCTCTATTCCGAGACGGTCGCCGCGGAAGTGGAAACATCTTCAATGACAGCTGCGAACGCCTCGAGAACCGCGATCGCGCGTCACATGGTGGCCACGCCTATCGAACCCAAATTCGATGTCCAAATGCGAGTAAAGAGAGTGCCACTTCCCCCTCCTAGCCCTCTACCGTCAGAATCTGATATCGCGAGCGTCGCTTTGGAGAGAAACCTGACCACTATTCTGGAAAAAGAGGAATCCAGTCTCACGCGTAGTCTGGAGAGTCCACCTGCCAGAATGACCACTTTCTCGTACGTTCCCGAGCTTCATGGACCACCAGGAGGCACGTCTTCCACGTCCACCATCTCTCGACAACAAACGCCGCCAGTTTATTCGAGAATATTGAGAAAGCAAGCCGAAAGAGAGACCACGACCAGCACTAGTATGATTCAAGAACGAATTCCGTCTCCTTCTCCTGTCGAGCAGCCGCCTCTGCAACACCATGAAATTCGTAGACCTAGATCTCTAACTTCATTAAACACCGAGTTAACAGAAACACGTTCCTTGACCGAAGTAACCGATCACACGCACGCCAAGTACAGAGTGGCCAACATTCTAGCTCCAACTCCCCCACCACCTCCTCCAATTGTCCCCACGGTTACCACTACTCATACAGCTGTTCAACATCGCGAACATCGTTTGTTCCGAGAAGAAGTGACGGAACCTTTGGTTGAGCCCCAAGTTGTCGCTCCCAGACGTCCAGAGATAACCACTCATGAGGTAGACGATGTGTTCTTGAAAACGGTGACAGAGAAGAAAACTATCGAAGATGTTGAGCGCCATCGTCGCCAGGTGACAGAGTACAGAACCAAACCACCTCCACCCGATCCTAAATGGGACGTGACTATCAGAAATTATCCCAAGGAGAACTTCCCACCACCTCCTCCTGATTTGGAAAATTTCTCCGATGTTAGCTCCACTTCTAACCTGACTATCACCAACGAACCAATAGGAATTCATCCTGATGGGCCAGTTGACGAGGAACCGGATATCAATATCGAACCTACTTACACAGCTAGAGCCGAGATTCCTTGCAGACCACCTCCGGTGGCTCATCGTTCCATGGATGAGACGGATTCCGATTGGTTCTCTAGATTGTCTCGCGTCTTGGATCCCCGTTACGCCTCCGAATTGACGGACGAAGAGCGAATAAAATGGCGCGAAATAATTACCACGGATAGCACTTTACGAACTCTGTTAACAGAGGCGGTGGTTAAAGAAGATTACGAGTTAATACGAAAAGATGCCAGATACACCAATCTATTCCTACCAGAGAAATGGGATGTGATCATTCGAATATTGGGTCCTCCATTGACGCAAGCGGGTTCAATTTCCTCTTCCACTCATGGGAAAAATCACGGACAACGATACAAAAGATCCAAGTCCTCTGAATGGGACACCAGATCGAGAAGATCCTCTCTGCCTACTTTGTACGAATACGAGAGCGACGGAGGTAGTTCCGCTCGTACTCAGGGCCATCGACTGCAGATGTCGCAATCGGCAACAACAATGAGCCAATCTAATCGTTTGCGCAGACTTGGTTCGAGTCATAGAGGTACAGGTGGCACTAGCGAAGTGGACGTAAGATCTATGTCAGAGATGACAGTGAGGGACTTCGCCAGAGTGGACAGGGACGATTTGACGAGTTTGAGTTCCTTCGAAGGTGCAGATTCGCTAGTGAGATCATTGAGCCAACCCAGTCTAGCCAGAAGTGGTTCAGAATTCACGGAACACTGGGGAATTCCGTCGGGCATGCTGGATCTCCCGCCTTGGGCGGCCGAGGAGGAAGGGACTAGTTCCGTGGAAACCACGCCGAGAGTAGTGAGGAGAAACGACCGTTTGGAGGTTCTGGCGTCGTTCGATGATCGCAGACAGGGATCGTCGATAACTAGATCGAGTCGGTATATCGAGAGAGAGTTGAATAGTGTGCACGTGACCGAGAATCAAAGGAGTTCGAATTGGTTCCATGACGATTCCGAGCCGGAGATGCAGATTTGAAAATTTTTTTAAGAATTTTGGAAAAAAATCCGTTTTCGTGTTTCGTCCTATTGAAGTGCCTTCCTTCGATTTTTCTGTGATTCAAATGCAAAATTTGATTGACAGTTGTGATAGAGGTTATGAACATTAATAATTGCTTGAAATCATTATCGAGACACGAATCTTTAAAAATAGATAATATAGAAGAATCATTTTTTTTAAAATAGTGAAAATACTTAAAAATGTGAGTGAAAAATGTTTTTGAAGATCAATATTTGTAACCTCTATTACAATATCCAAGTTTCTTTAAATTGGCAATAACTTTTCGATGAACGATTCTTTTACTTTTATATCTTTTTTCTATTCTATATTAATTGTGATTGTGTTTAGTAGATTTATTTTTATCAATCAAGAGGGCGATTTCTTAATGTTCACTGCCTACTCGCATTTGGCAAATCAGAAGACACAGTTTGAAGATATTCTTTATGAATATGAAAACATTCTCGAACGAACGTGTATTTACGACTCGATGCGTTGACTGTTGGATCAAGTAAAAAATCTGCTAATTTTAAATAAATATCAAAACAATTGAATGAAAATATTTAATTATTTTTATTGTTATACAAAATATATATATATATTTATAATTTCATTTCATGACTTATCAAATTGATTTATGTATAAATATTTCTGTTAATTAGTGAATATTAAATATTAAACGTTTTCCTAATTATCTTGAAGCTGAACAGTCAACACGTTGAAGATATAATTAGCCATTTTCTCCACTTGCCACTCGAATTATGCAAATTAAGAAAGAAAAAAGAAAAGATAAGAAGAATCGATATTGCAGAACGAGTGGAATTGTAGAATATGGTGGAAACGATCGAATTAAATCATAATGTAGGAATTAACTTGAAATAAGTTAAAATATAGTAAAAAAAGTTTACAAGTAACCATGCAACAAAATCGCTTTTTTAACATTCAATGACCGACTGGCGCATTTCGAAGATCTCTACGATCATTAAAAACCACCATGACCTTATTTTTAATAATATTTAACACTTTTGCTACGAATTTCTGTAAAATATTTTACTATTAAAGTTTGCTTAAAAATTTTAATATCTTTCACTATCTTTTAAATTGAAAATTGGGAAATTCTTAAAAAAGATGAAGATAAATCTTACTAGAGATATAATATTTTATTAATATATTTTATTTGAATGCAATATATGAAACATATATTAAGATTATGGATTAATACGTATCAAATAAGAAAAATTTTTATTTTTTCATTTTTTTTTAAATAAATCTAATGGAATTTGAATTTTTCTTTTTTCAAGTTTTATATAAAAAATCATTATTTGAAAAGTATTTTTATTATAACACTATTAAGTTTATCTTCATCAATTCATTCATCAAATTTTGTTTTATATGACAGGAAATCTTCAATCTTATTTGCAAAATATAAGAAAATTACATAATTAACAATGCTTTATAATTCAATATACTCGCAAACATTTCTAAAAATAAAATGACATTATCTGCATCTGATAACTGTACTTGTGGTACAGTTGTTATATAGTTAATATCTAACTGATACGGTTAGAAAATATATAATAATGAACGTGCACGTTTACCTAATAAAAAATTTTTTTTATCACACACCATTATCAATGAAACATGTTAATTTTTATTTTTTGCAATGAATTTTTTAAATATTGATATATCAAATGATATAGCATAGTCTTTTTTCTTTTTTTTTTTTTTTTTTAATTCAAGCAAATCTTATTAAGTTGGATACTGGAAGTTTCATAATATATTCTTTATGAATATGAAAACATTCTCGAACGAACGTGTATTTACGACTCGATGCGTTGACTGTTGGATCAAGTAAAAAATCTGCTAATTTTAAATAAATATCAAAACAATTGAATGAAAATATTTAATTATTTTTATTGTTATACAAAATATATATATATATTTATAATTTCATTTCATGACTTATCAAATTGATTTATGTATAAATATTTCTGTTAATTAGTGAATATTAAATATTAAACGTTTTCCTAATTATCTTGAAGCTGAACAGTCAACACGTTGAAGATATAATTAGCCATTTTCTCCACTTGCCACTCGAATTATGCAAATTAAGAAAGAAAAAAGAAAAGATAAGAAGAATCGATATTGCAGAACGAGTGGAATTGTAGAATATGGTGGAAACGATCGAATTAAATCATAATGTAGGAATTAACTTGAAATAAGTTAAAATATAGTAAAAAAAGTTTACAAGTAACCATGCAACAAAATCGCTTTTTTAACATTCAATGACCGACTGGCGCATTTCGAAGATCTCTACGATCATTAAAAACCACCATGACCTTATTTTTAATAATATTTAACACTTTTGCTACGAATTTCTGTAAAATATTTTACTATTAAAGTTTGCTTAAAAATTTTAATATCTTTCACTATCTTTTAAATTGAAAATTGGGAAATTCTTAAAAAAGATGAAGATAAATCTTACTAGAGATATAATATTTTATTAATATATTTTATTTGAATGCAATATATGAAACATATATTAAGATTATGGATTAATACGTATCAAATAAGAAAAATTTTTATTTTTTCATTTTTTTTTAAATAAATCTAATGGAATTTGAATTTTTCTTTTTTCAAGTTTTATATAAAAAATCATTATTTGAAAAGTATTTTTATTATAACACTATTAAGTTTATCTTCATCAATTCATTCATCAAATTTTGTTTTATATGACAGGAAATCTTCAATCTTATTTGCAAAATATAAGAAAATTACATAATTAACAATGCTTTATAATTCAATATACTCGCAAACATTTCTAAAAATAAAATGACATTATCTGCATCTGATAACTGTACTTGTGGTACAGTTGTTATATAGTTAATATCTAACTGATACGGTTAGAAAATATATAATAATGAACGTGCACGTTTACCTAATAAAAAATTTTTTTTATCACACACCATTATCAATGAAACATGTTAATTTTTATTTTTTGCAATGAATTTTTTAAATATTGATATATCAAATGATATAGCATAGTCTTTTTTCTTTTTTTTTTTTTTTTTAATTCAAGCAAATCTTATTAAGTTGGATACTGGAAGTTTCATAATATAAAATTATTATAAAAGCATATTTAAAAAAAATATTAATTTTATCACATTATAACTATTATTTTTAATAGTTATAATATAACGCAATTTGATTTATTACAAAGAACAAAATACTTGTGAATTTAATAGCGATAATTTTTCAGAAACTTTTCAGAAAATATATAGTGCCTTATGCAAGCAGAAGTCATGAAATATTTGTTGAAATACAAAATGAGAGACATAAAACTTTTGTTATTGAATTTACTTACTTAGGATTAAATTGCGAATCTGGTATAATTGAATTTTTTTTATTGTTTTCATAAGCATTATGAAATTTGAATTGTATTTATCTATAATTAATCATTAATCTTTAACGAACGGCTAATGAAAGATTACAATTTTTCAATAAGAAAAATATATCTATTTTCAGAATTAAATCTTTTCTGTATTTTTTCTCTAATTACATTACTGTCGAAAAAACGTTAGATCAACGTTGAACCAATGTAAAACATATTCATCAGATACGCATGTATATTATTTCGATATTTGATATTCAAAATTGCATATCTTCTTTCGTAATATAATATGCTTTATTATTTTAGAGAAAGAAATATAAATCTTGATGGATCCATATAGGAAGAAAAATAAAATTTTTCTTTGTCTTTCATAACAATTTAAACTGGTTTAATCATTTTGATCATTTTTAATCTTTAATCTTATAATATATTTTCATTATATAAAAAGAAGTAATTACAAAAGTTGAGAAAGATAATAATAAATAGTTAAATTTGATATTCTATGTAATATCTATTTGAATTATAATTGATAATCATAAAAAGCAATTACAAGGGAACGTGCTTAATTGAATTTGAACACTGTTAACCTCCGTATACGATGGCTTCATAGGTCTGCAGGTAGCGCGGACAATGGGAATAATACGGTGGAAAACGAAGTTAGCCAAAGTGTTAAATATTCGGTCGGGTGGTGGCGTTGCGATAATAGTCTGTTTAAATAGGTAATGAAACATACGGTGCTGGGTTATACGCTTGAAACAATAGCTAGGATTTCCTTTCTTCAAGACGTACTTAATCTTCTCTCAGAGTTTAAATGTATCCTATTACATAGCGTGTGTATGATGGTCCCGTAGAGATATCAACCTTCACGTACACGTAAACAGATTTATTCGCAATTACAATATTTATTAATTATACGCTCGAGCTCTTCTCGTAGATATAAACACGGGAGTCGTTCCTATCCTCCAATGAGGATAGTCTCCCCACTCTTGGACTCCCCAATCAGGCGACTAATATACCAAAACAATATACCGTGCAGTTCGCTCTAACATTTGTAACGAATCGTTTCGTTCGGAATTCAAACTCTATAGTTAATTTAACATGTTCGAAATTAATTCTAAAATTCTATTTTTAAGAATTAACGATGATAATTAAGAATAATGATGAAAGCTAAAAGGAGCATTATTTTTTTTCAAATATTCTACTATCCTCGATACAATGTTTGTTATCGACAAAAATAAAATGAGGTTAAAATTTCGTGTATCTAATAGCTATATTATTCGGCTGGATCTCGAAGCGAGTTTATAACGAATAAATATTGTATGTACTTATACACGAGATATCTCGTGAGTTGTGCTTTCTTAAAGACGTAGAAAAGCTCCTGAGTCACAAATAAGATGTGATAAAAAAAAAAAATAATGTTTTGAAAAAAAAATAAATTATTATACATACGCATATCTTTTTGTGAAGAAAAAATTGTGAAAGGAAAGAAACCTCGAGGTTATTAACGATTCCATTGAAGAATTAAAAATTATTTTATCGAATTTATCTTTGTATATTTGAACGAATAAAAATTAATTTAAATTTGCAATTGTATATTATAAATTAATTTTTATAATAAAAATTTGGATGAATAAAAGTTAATCAAAATTAAATTAATTAACCTGCAATATCTGATCTGTCAGATTTTTACAAGATGAAATAAATGAAAATTGATTTTCATACATTTAACTTTTATTTAATTTTTTTCAAATTTAAATAACGGAAAAATCAACATGAATGATCAATATTTATCTTAAATTTTTTTTAAATTTTTATCTCAAAATATTTTGATTTTTGAAAAATGTCATGTATAAAGATTTTTCAAAATATAACTGAGAATATTTTAATTCGGAATATGAAAATCTTTATGAAAAACTATTTTATTTTTGATTCAGGATCTGGCATATTGAAAGCGTGTTATTTCAATTATTCGTATATGCAAAGTTTGTATGGAACGGTTTGTAGTTCAAAGAAAGATTATTCAAACTAAATGTAATCTGCGTTGAAATATTTTGTAAGTAAATTTAGGTAGAAATATCTTAGCGACATAAAGGTGTAATTTTATAATATCTCTCATTAAAATAAAATTAATTTTATTATTAATTTTTTTTTACACAAAAATCATATATAATTTCATTTTACTCGCGCAAAGAATTTTTTAAAAAATATTTTTAAAAAAGTAATAAAAGGAACATCATAATAATTTTTTAAAAAAATTATAGATCTTGAAATTTTTTAAATATTTTTATCCAGAAGGATGACAATATGTTCTCCGCAAAATCATCTCGAAACACTTATTTGAATAACCAATAGTTTCGAAAGCTAATCGCATGGAAAGATTAAAACGGGACACTCTATATGTATATGTAATATATATCTATGTGTATTAACAGAAAATAATCGTTCCTATGAAATTTTCCATCCAATTAATTCTTTCGAGTCAAGAATTTTGTATGCTTCGTTCAATTTTTTTTTTTTATTCCTTCCTTTTGCAAAAGAAAATAGAGGGGAAAAAAGACAGCATTTAAAAAAAAAAGAAGTTTACACGTGTCGATTAAACGTCGATTAATGAAAGATATATAGGATCTCCTTGAAGAAAATAACTTTTCTTTTTTTTTTTTTTTAATAGAAAAAAATCTACCACAAAATAACTGTTTTATAAATATAAGTGTAAAGAAAGTATTAAAACTATGAAACAAAATATTGGTTTTTTCATTTCCTTAACTTAACTTGTTTCCCACGGTGAATTAATATATTATAACTTTATTAATTGACATGCTTGTGAAACTTGTAGATCAAATGAATCGAGAGTTGAAAAATTAAAACTATTGTCCAATAAATTAAAATTCATATAAATCTATTAAAATACTAAATTACATTTTTGAAATATTTTTTTCAAATAATAAATAATTACATTCAAAAAATACAAATGGAATACTCGAATCTACAACTTTTTCAATTCCTATCAAACAACTAAAACATAGCACACACACACACCTTCTTCTGATCGAGAATTACTCTCTCCCATTCCACGTACTCTTCTCATCTCGACCGATCTGCAATCTTGAATCGCCTTGTACTGGGCTAACGGGCCAAATGAATATCCAAAGTCCACACACGAGCACGGGAGAAAAACAGTTGATGATGATTACTGGGCCAAAGAGTGTTTCCCATAATCGATTTTGACGGAGAAAAGGACACGTTTTGGGGGCAGATACGATCGCAGGTCTCGTTTTTTGGAAAACGATATTTCAGTCGTTTTTCTTGCTCGCGTTCCACTTGCGTTTCTGATCATATCCGTGGCTATTGCGCATGCGCATTTCCGCACGCGCCGCTTTCATCGTTCGCGAAATAATCTTGGCCGTGAATCGAGCATCAGTCTTCGACGAACGAGTCGCTCGTTCTCGCGCTTTACGTCTCATGTTCGTGTCTCGAGAAACTTGTCCTCGTGGTTTGGGAAAATTTATTTAGGTGGAAATTCGAGAAAGAGTTAAATCAATAATTGTACAATGACATAAAAATTTTTAATATTTATTATTTTACATCAATATTATACAAAGATATTTGTATCGTTAATTTATTCGAAGACAGTGTTACTGATCGTTTCGACAATAATATCTATGTTATATTGTATAGTTAGTTTTTTTCTAATTTTTCTTGTTAGGAGATTCCAAGTTGTTACAAAGTGGCCAACACTAACAAAGTTTTGATTTCTTATTTTTTGATGTTTAAAAATAATTATCCAGGAATAATATTAATATTGAATTTTTTATTTAAGAAAAATTTTTGGAGAGAGAAGTCGACTTACTTATAGTGTGTGACAAAGTGGAAATTTTAAGTTAATTATGAAGTTCATTTGGTTTTTTGATTTCTTTCTTTTTTTTTTTTTGTTTATTTGAAAAAATTGATACTTTGCTGTTAGAAACGATGAAGGATTGGTGGAAATGGAGGTTAACAGGTGTGATTTAGGTAGTAATTGTTGCGCAAGATGGAGTTTAAAGATCTTTTTAAAATGGAGATTTATGTGACTTGTTCTTTGGATATTACTTTTATCGAAATTGATGAATTAAATTTATTAAATTATGTGAAATGTTTTAGAAGTTATATTCATTTTACTTTTCCCGGAAGAAAATGTTTATGAAAAGAGATAACTGAAATTTATATTCCACAAAATAATTTTTAATGAAATCGATGAAAAAGAAAATGAAAATATCAATCTCTACGTGTAGCTTTTGTTTAAAAAAATTAATGTTTTCTTACATTTTGTGACAATTTTCTTTGATCACAAAAAAAATCATTAATAATTTATTATTCAATATGATAAATTAATATCAATACATTAACAGGTTATGAAAAATAAATGTTTTAAAAAAAGAAGTGAAAGTATTTTCGATGATAAATTACTCTATTACCACAATAGATGAAATGATAGATTAAGATTGATGCTAGTACTTGATCTTCCCTCTTAAATTAGATTTTAAGAAATTGAATTTCTTTCTCGCGAAAAAAGATAGTACTACATTTCGCAAACTCTACAACTACTTTATCAAACCAGATTTAATATTCCATTATCGAATCTAACTTTCAATTAACAAACTTTCAAATTATTCGAAATACAATTAAAGCAATCTTCAAAAAACCATCTCACAAAACGAAGATATGATCTTCATTTTCGAAAAAATCAATTTCACTGTATTTTGTATTTTGCAAATTTTTTAAAAAATAAAATTGAAAAATTATTTTACTTTCATTCATATACACCAAAATCCTAAATTTTATTATTATTATTATTATTAAAAATTATAAAGAATTATCGTTATTATTATGAAATTATTAAAATTATATTATTATTAGATATTAGAAAGATTTCAAAAGAATCGCAAAAAAGATTTTTAATCTTTGGAATACGAGTATTGTCATCGAAAGGGAACATGAGAACGATCGGTAAATAAAATTAATGAGTGTGAGATGCACGTGGTCAAAGGAATTTGTCAAACGCCTTTTTTGGCGTTGTTTAGTAGGATAAACGATTTTTAAATTACCGTTAATGAACTACGTGTCATGAATATATTTTTTAAAAACTACACATGAACCGTTAATCGCTTTATACGTGTAAATTGGACAAAGTATTTCGTAAGAAATATTGCAGATATAAAATAATTTATCAAGCGAGGTTAAAAGGATGTGTATTGAAGTGATATTAATTTGCAATTAATTTTTTTCGCAACGTAGCTTTAAAATATATACATCGAAATATCTTAGTAGTAATGAAATACAAAAAGTTGATAAAATAAATAAAAAAAATGTGAAATAAATTTTAATTGAAATCGTTTTCGAATAACTTTCTTGTTATTGATCCTCGGATCTTCAATCCAATAAAAAATTAATTGTATTTTGTTTACAAATTAATAAATGAGACGAGTTCCGTATTTTTTTATAAAAAAAAATGTTTTTTCGAACAATATCATAACCTTTTAAATTAAGATTAAATAGTTTCCAACATTTATTTGAATCAATATCATTCGAAAATCAATAAAAAGAATGGAATCCTTCGTAGATATATATTTTAGAAATGTCTGCCGCAAATTATCGAGCAATCCTGTTAAGAAATCTACCGTAAAATATTTTATTCTTTTTCCTTTCGATTTTTTCGAAGAAAACTTCAAAATATCTTGATATATCATACCATAAACCAATATTTATTACTAGACAGAGAATTTTTCGTACAGAAGAGAGATATCGAAGAATGTATGAATATTTTTTTGATTCAAAAGAACGGTAGAATCAATTTCGAATTCTTAAACGTGTAATCAATCAATGTAATCGTGACATAATAATAGTAAAGAAGAAGAAAAGATGTATTAAAGAAACGATCATAACAAAAAAAATACAACCTTCAAAAAAGTAATTCAATCAATGAACTGTGAAACAATAAATTTCCACGAAGAAAGTAAGTAGCAGCATCGTAAGAGAACACCATCGTCGCCATTATCGAAAGATTGCTGAAACAAACCTAACCTCCACTTCGAGCCGCATGCTTGAAAGCCGACTTTCTCCGTCACTACACATTACTTGATGTATGTACCCATAAATACGTGTCTCTCTTCCGTATGAACCGTATCGCAATCCTTTCCAAGTTTTATTTAAGCAACGCAAGAAGGCAGAAAAGAGTGGATACTATATATAGTATCGTTCAATCGGACGAAAAAAGAGCGAGAAAGTTGATGGTGCGATGTTCTTGATTGTTTATCAACAGGTTACCGGTAGAATGGAAGCGTTTGGATCTCGCGGTGGATCGATCCCGAATCACTGAAGCACATAACTAGTTGAAAAGAGGGTATCGGCCGGGGAAAAACGTCCGATGATCGAAGCATCGAAGAGACGCGATGGGAGTGGGGATAGCAAGACACGACGCTCGCGGCCAGTTATGGTGGCGAACCATGCTTCATGGTGGGGTTGAAAGGTGGCGCAGTCATTTATGGTTGCCGGTTGTTCATCCGACGGTTCAGTTGCCCGTCTGACCAACAACGACAAAAACCTCAAATGGCGAACGTACGATGAGCAGTCGACTCGATTTTTAAGGATCGCTATATGGAACCGACACGTTTATGAAATTCTATTTCCATTAATCATCGGAAATTTATTGGTTTTTACAATCGATTGTTCCATAATCGAGAGCTCGCATAAGCTTTCGAACAGTTTAAAGAGGAAGAAAATAGAGTTTCGAGAGAGAGAGAAAAGTGATATCTGAACGATGTTTGTGCGAAGTATGTTTACGTTTGAATACTATGTCGGAGAATTTGATTAGTATTTAGAGAATTTGTTGTTTGTTGTCAAAGTTTAAATTTGTTATATAATTTGGAATTCAGTTTGATAAAGAAGAAAGAAGAGTTTAAAAAATAAGAAGAAATGATTTATTGGAAGACATTGCGTTTTGGATAGAAAAGTGGTATCTGAATGATTAATTTGAGGAATATGTTTGATATCTAATGAATGTATCAAGATGTTGATTAACGATTGGTAGTTTTTTTAAAATTAACTTTGTGATTGAAGATTATTGTTGCGAAAAATTGTGATCCAAAGAAGAATAGGAACATGGTTGAAAGTGTGCAATATTTCTACGAAAAAAAGAATTTGATCAATAATTCGAGAATTCTTTGCTTTTGATGGTGCTGTGTAATTACAAATGTTTTTTTCTGAAGAATTTATGAAAGAAATTTAGATTTATCCTGCATTTTGCTAAGTGAATTTTTTAGAAGATAAAATTATTATTCATCTTTAAAAAATGTTAACATTTCTCCTTGAAGGGAATTAATGATTCGATATTCTTCAAATAAAGACGTATTTCCGAAGAATTCGCCGAAGAAAATTAAGAAATTTTTCAGGGGCATTATATCGAAAGATAGCCTCTTTGCTGGAATACCAGAGCGATTTAAAGAACGTTGTGGAAAATAGAGATATATTTATGATTGAAAGCAGTAAAATAGATCGAGGAATTTGATTACTTGAAAAATAATTCGATTTTGATTGTTGAATTGTTGATTTTAAATATTAAATCAAATAATAATCTGAAGGTTTGTTTTTTTTTTTTTTTTTGATTTTATCATCGAATTTGAAAATTTAAGAGTACTTTGTGCTCAAGGTTTTTGAAGAAAATAAAAGATCTTGTATAAGAATAGAGAAGAATGTTTATATTTTAAAATCAAAAAAGGAATCAGAATTTTGAAAATAAATTCTTTGGAGAAATTGAATTGAACGATCAAAGATTTGTTGAATTTTTGATAACAGTTTATAAATGAGGATTGGCTGTTGAAAAGTTTGAAGAAGATTAAGAAAGTTTGGGCAAGATTTTGTGGAACGTAATGAAGGATATTTGTTGATACAAGAATATGAAATTCTTTCATCGATATATAACTCTAGAAAATTTTTGATCGATCGAATATTGAATATTTTTCCTTAAATCAAAATTAATTTCTGAGATGTGTGAAACGAAAATTTAAAGAAATATCTTATCTTCAAGATAAATTACACTTCAAGTAGATTTTAAGGGGAATAAAGTTTACCTTTGTGATTAAGAGACTGAATTAAAACTTTCTACACGAAACTTCAAGAGGAATTATAATAATGAATTAACAATAAATTATATATTTATTAGTTTTTCAATGGTACCTCATAGATTATGAAGAAAACTCAAAATACAATTTAGATCTATTGTTCTTCTCCCATCTTATTCTTAAAAAAACGTTATTTTCTAGAATAAAAAAATTGTCCCAAAGAATACTCCATAAAATGGTAGAGTTTCGACACGAAATTTCAAGAAAACTATGATTCACGATTGGAGCTATCATTTCTTGACGATGTCCCATAAGTTTCGAAGCAAAGAACTATTCTTTGAAAAAGAAGTTGTTTTCCCAAGTGGAAAAGTGATTTAAATGATTCTTTGGAAAGTGGCACGATATATTTATCTTGGAGATCGCAAAGTGGATCAGCCAATTTGAACGTGAAATTTCAAAAAAGAAGAATTCAATCAGCAATGGAAACCTTGTTTATTAATACCCTATAAATGGGATTATTCTGAAAATAAGAAATCTTTTGAAATTAATTAATATTCCCAACGAAATTGTATATTTTAGATTCCAATTAATCCGACAATATTGTTCGAATGAAAACTCCTGCTCGAAAAATGAGACTTGTGAAAAATAATTTCAAAAAAATTCTATTTTTCGAAAGGAAAGAAATAATTTAAAAGAAGAAAAACTACTTTTGTAACAATAAATATATATATATATATATATATTAATTCTTGAAATCACAAAGTGGATCAAAGAATTAGAAATCGTCGAGAAAAAACCATCATCTTTGAAAATTTGAATTTTCCTTTTTTTTTGGAATGGACGACAAGAAAAATTCTAAAAGTGCTATTTAAATTCTTCTTCTGAATCAAAAATCAAGAAACATGTGTATACTGTCCTCCTTCTCCTGAGCTGATTCTCCAATTTCAGAAGAATTTATCAAAGATCGAATATTGAGAAAGATGTGAGAGAGAGAGAGAGAGAGAGAGAGAGAGTGTTGTTGTAGAAAT